GCAACGACTTACCTAAAGAAAGAATAAGCGAAGAAAACGCTAGAAAATACCCACACTCTGCAGGGAGCACTATATTGAGCAGGAAATCTACTAGATTTCACGTTATTAGAACAAGAGGAACCGATGCAAAGAACTTCCAAAGAAAGAGATTTTTGGCAGAACACATATTGCTTTGTCGTAAAGAAGATAAACATCAGTATGACCTAATTAGTGCAGCAGCAAAACATCCGAATGTAGATGTCAGCATGCCCACCAGCGAGATTCGGTTGCCTTCTAGGAATCAACCAATTTTTGGCCACTCCGCGAGCGAGATCGACGACAGAACCAACTGTATAAGAATGAAGAGGAAACCTCCAATCATACCAAACCACATTAGTGGTAGACAGATTTTTGCTGCGAATGAAGAGTCGATAGTAAACAAATGAGCAAGAGATATTTGAAGAACCAGAATCTATTTTGTATAGAAGACTGCATCCCTTGACTTTTCCCCCAAACATCATTACCACGACGATGAAGAGAAACGAAGAAGAACGCCTGGTATGAGCCTTCAGATGTTTTGTTACGCTATGCGTATGCTTTTATCATAGGAGCAAAGTAGATGAAATTGCAAACTGTCCAACATAAACGTTTGGTGAAAATTTCGCGATTTCAGGTCAAACTCTCAAAGAAAAATCAGAAAATCGCAGAATTTTGCTTCATAAAGCCCTACATGGTCAGAGGCATATCAAGATAGATTAGGAGCAGAAGGGTGAAGGAGAAGAAAGATGATTGAAAGAAGAATGAAAGAAATCATCAAAATAATGAAAGCAAAGCTAGAATCAAAAATGAGAATTTAAGGAGAGAGGAAGCAGAAAAGTTTACGCTGGGGGCGCGATATCTAACATGGTCATTTTGAAAAAAAGGGTAACAATGGCAGGGGGCGATCTGAAACTGGCTTACGATTAAGGATCAATTCTTGACCGGGGCATCCGTCCATGCTTAAAAACCAAAACTTTGTGAAATGACAGAAATATATGCTCCATACGATTTCAGATCGTCTGTTGACCGTCTGGACACGGATTGATTTTAGAAAAGGTTTTACTTCACATAAGTTTGCAAATTTTTTACACAATTCTTCCGCAAATGATTTTCTATGTACATTTTTGTATATTTTCAATTTTGGTGTCATATGATTCTGTGTGCGCCGTAAACAAGCATATTTATTAGCCTTGCTTTCAATTCGCGCGCACTTTTCGCCATACACGATAGAGCATGTCAATCGTGTGATAACCTGTCCGAAAAGCTTGTAGCCGACTAAATGGCGCTTATCCTTGGTGCCCCGACTCCGCAAAAACGATATCCCCTTTGCTTTTTGTTCTAAAAACAAAGTTCAGCCTGCTTCCAGACGATCAGTGCCGGGCCCTGATTGAGGCTCTATCGTATCAGATCTGGGCTCTGGATCAGAGCTTATACGAAAAAAGATCTCACTGTTGTTGTGGAAATGATTTTTCTAGCCCAAATCTGATAATTGCTTGAATAGGGCGCATCCAAAAAAAAAACTTTGCTATACATGTAAGGCCTAAGTAAGATGAGAACGACTCAAGTATGTTGAACAAGCAACATGTTCAGCATACAAATTTGGATTGCAATATCTAGCATTCTACTTTTTTTACTGTGGCTAAAAAAGGATGAGATTGGTGCTTTCGAAACCTTTTGCCGACACAGGGTTTGCCCCTGAACTTTCATATCAAAAAAATTTAAAGATTATGCAGATTTTCCTATGACATGCTTAACTAACCAATTAACTAGTCCACTTCACGTAAAAGATTTTTGTCAGCAATATTATGTGTGAGTGATGGTAAAATGTTATGTCATAGGACTGACTGTGAAGTGTAAACACGCCATTTGTGTAATTTAGCAACTTTCGATTGCGTCATTTGAAAGAGCACGTTGTCAGCCTGTTTGCAAATTAGTAGTGAAAACGAGCGTGTTTCAAGGCACAGTGTTTGGAAAGTTTCTGCACTCAAATACCAGCTATGATTCTGGCTCGCTTTTTGCTATGCAGGTTTAGTAAACTCGAAGGCCACTGAATCAAGAAGTTTCTTTTCTGCTTGAAGATACTCCAGGAACTTTGGTGGTAACCACTTTTTCCGTTCCTTAAAGAAGCGGAAAAGTGCGCCATTTTATTTGTTCCAATATCAGCGCCGGAAATCGTAAACAACTTCCTAGTTTCTTATTAACGTCTTAAATCTACGCTCTCTGCACAAAACAAAAGTTTAGCAATAGCTTGCGATCAAAGTTTTTTTCATGTCGCAAAAATACAGGAAACTACCCTGCCAGTTTACGTTGTTTTTTGGTTCAACACTTTTGAAGTCTTGTTTGAACGTGCATTTGTAGCACAACTCTTCAACTATCATTGATCACTTTCAAAAATTTTGTAAGCTTGTAAATTCTTTGAGAAATAATCGCAAACATTTGGAGCTAGATCTTTTCAGGAAAAATTTTGAAACTGGATTTCTTGGAGGCACAGCACTCCAAAACGAACTCACTTCGAGGAAAGCAAAAGCAAAATTAAGAGGTTAAAAAAAGGCTTTCAGATGGTAGCAAAGTGCCAGTAGAAAATGATTTCCTTTTTGTAACGAGCCTTTCAAGAAATTGTGGTAAAAGCTACATCAATTGTTGTAAAACCCATTAAAAAATCAGAAAAAAATTACAGAAAAACCTGAAAGGGCGTCAAAATTTGATTGAAGTACTGTAGACCAGAAACTTTCCAGACACCATGGAAATGTCTGTTCAATTTTCATGTGATTTTCGTGTGAGCGAACACCTTTACGGTTTCTTCCCCTAGATAAGCGCCTCTCGCTCAGAGCCTTTCATGTATGCAGGTTTATGGAAAGACAGCAATGAATTGATACGGTCATTTTCCAGGGCTCGGCACAGGTGGCTTACAAGCAAGCTGGATATCGTTTTTGGGGCGAAAAGCAAAGGGGGTTTCGTTTTTGTGAGCAAAGATATACGGAAAATTGACGACGGCGACCTTTTTTTTTAGTCGACGTTTCGTTTTTTGGGGATTTTCGGGAATTTTTCAGGTTTTTAGAAGAAATTTGGTTCAGCGTCAAAGGGGACTTCGTAAAAATTCCCAAAAGTCAAGGGGGACTTCGTTTTTTCCATTTTCATCTAGCCACCTCGTGCCGAGCCCTGGTCATTTTCCCGACAGTACGATGAGCTAGCCGTAACGTTAGAAAGCATGTCGCAGGACATACAAACATTGAAAAATGACCACAATCTTGATCTATGGCTATGATAAAAATTATATTATGTAAACAGGTTCGTTTTCCCTGACATTGAAAGTTCTATTGACAAGCACGTGGTGAAAAAATGTTGTTGGCTCTGGTGGTTTTCGCATGCAAAAATAGTCGCTCCCGCTCACCATCACATTAGGTCGTTCCAAAAGTAATGTCGCTTTTTTCAAACGTACGCCACATCTCATGGAAAAAGGATATGTAACAGATTCTGGTAGCATTTGATGCAGCATTTCATTCTCCCTCTAATGGTTCTATTAGGTTGGTAAGAAAGTTTTTGGACATTTTCAGAAAAGATATGCTATTTCTCGAAACATGACGCATATACATCAGATAGAGGTGCCATTCGACAGAGCAAAGCAAGCTCTACAAGATGGTATGCTAAAATTCGCACCAGCTTTCCCCACCGTAAGTTTGCACCCAAAATTTGAGTCGTACCGAAATTCAAAAAATCGCGAAAAATTCATATTTTTGTTCAAACAAATCTTACGGATATCCAACTTGCTCATAAAAATTGCGGACCACATCAGACACTCATATGCACCGTTCCCGTAATTTATAAATCGAAAAAACGAAAATCTTCATGCTTGTATAAAAACGAAGCTGTGCTGTTTCCACCTATATAGTTGAATAATGTAAGCTCTGAGGAGTATAATCGTAAATTTTCAGTTTTCTACTGGCCCTAGTTCCCGAACACTAAGCGCTCCTCACTCGAGCGTTCCATGCTAAAATCAATATTTTTCGACAAATAGGGCTTACAAAAATAGAGAAATAGCAAATCTTTTCTGAAAATGTCCGAGAACTTTCTTACCAACCTAATATAATCACTGCAAAGAAATTAATAACCTTTCGAAAAATCATCAAGATCTGCGACCCATGCTTTTTGAGAAGGCCAAGTTTCAATTTTTTTAAATTTTTTTAACAGTTTGGATGAAGCAAACCATACCGGAAACGGCACAACTTTTTCCTACTTTCCAGAACAACTCATAATTTTTGTACAGATTCTTTGACGGAAACACCGAATTTTAGCAGGTTCCAGACAGAAATGCATTAAACACCAACAAATCTTCGGATTTTGAGACTTACAAAGATGGATTATTGTTTGACACTATCTCTACAAATCAAGTAAGCATTCATCGCTTCAAATTTGCAACTTTCGAAAATTCCGGGTACAGCCTGAGGCGCCTTGGAAAATCTGAATTATGATGATTTTACCCCGAAAACTTGATGAATCGGAACAAAAGAACAGCTTGTAGAAAAAGGAGAAAAAGCTGTGTCTGACACCCGAATTGCTTACCGGTTGTTGTTCTGTGAGGTTAGGGTTGATCATATATGGAATTTGATAACATTGAAGAATTGATTCCAGAAACTCTAAGTAACAAGCTAAGAAAAAGAAAAAATTGCTTTGTGTCCTATAAAGTTTGCTCTATCTACCTGTTACTTTACTTCTTCGGAGAATAGGTACAAAAAATTCAGAAAAGTAGCCGAACTTGACCATGGCAAAAAGCATGAGTCGCAGATTTTGATGGTTTTTCGAGAGCTCGAGGAATATTTTGCAATGATATTACAATCATTAGAAAGAGGATGAAATGCTGCATCGAATGCTTTTAGAAACTCTTGAAAGTCTTGATTTTACGAAATGTGGTGTTCATTTGAAAAAAGTGAACTTCACTTTACTTTCGCAACCACCTAATACAAATATCCACTGCCATAAAGCTGCTAAACTTGCCTTACATTGCACATTGATGGGTAGAGAAATTCGTTTTCCAAAGCAAGTTCACGTGCTGCTTTCTCCCAGTTCTCGTCTCGGCTAGAATTTAAATCATTTAGAAACAAGTGAAACTCAGCTGACAGTGGCAACTCACTCATGATACGCTTTGAATATAATTGTGTCTGGAATATTTCGAAGACAATCTACATACATCCAGTGGTGAATTTTTTTGAATAGCGGATTGTTAGTTTCAGCATAAACGTACGTCTGAAAAAATAAAGGTCAAATGAAAAGTGATAGAAGATGTCCTTTGCCGTTGCAATCGTGGTGTCAAAATTACTTCACAAGACATTGAAACTTTTAAACTTTAGATTTTCTGACTGTTAGAATTAGAGTGTTTGAAATTTTGACACTCATGAAGACACAAAAGCATGTAAAACTTTAGGAAACGGAGACTCACTATGGGTACATCTTCATGAATTTTCATTTGGCAATAGTTTTTGAATCCTTGGGTGAGACCTTCACCTTCTTTTCTGTATAGAGACCTGTTGGAATTAATCCTGTTCCACATATAATAATCAGCACACCAGTCTCGTTTAGAAGACACTGGAATCTAAATTGGGCTCATTACTACCGATCAAAGGCTTAGAGATTACAACTTACAATGAGAAAAAAGTAGAACAACGTTTTGAATGGTGACAACATTTTGAATAGTGGCACTGCTGTACATACCGCTATTTAATACTAAACTGAGCAGCCAAAGATCAGATAAGACAATGGTGCTTTGAGCGTTCTTTGAAGGCTGTTCAATAGGACGATCAGTGGTGAACTCATTCGTGTGCGGAAATGTATTATCATTTGTACTAGCCTGATTCAAAAGTTCTGTCCGATTTGCGATTTTTCATTTAAAATCTTATAACTTTTTCCAATTCAATAATTTTGAACAATTTAAATTTTGTTAAATTAAACGAGTTTATGACTATCACAAGCACTGTATGCCATGTAAGGAAGGCTAGCGAGAGAGAAGAAAGAATTTTTCGAAATTAGCAAGGTTTTCTTCAAAACCGCCCAGTTTGACTCATTAGTGCTTCCATATGAACAGACATATTTGGCTGCCACCACCAAGTAGCCTATACTTCAAAGGTTCTTTTGCGGCTAAAGAGAATTCGAGTTATCTTTGCTGCATAGAAATCTTTGCGAGCAAATCAAAAAACCCCATTATTTGAGCCCTCCTCCGCGTGCGAAAATATGTCAACTTTCTAATATTTGATTTTTTCTTGCTATCGCAAACGAAGAAAGCCAATTGAGGTATGGTTCCTGCTTGCACTCGCTTTGCTCTAACATCTTATATATAAAGTTGAATGTGTGTCTGTATGTCTGTCTGTCTGTCTGTCTGTGTGTACGTATGTGCGGAATAGAAATTTTTATTTCTGAACCAATTTGGACCAAACTTGGCACACATATACTTCGGGGGCCAGGAGCATATCATAGGCTACTTTTCGTCATCTAACGACATCGATTTTATCGATTTTTATCGAATTTTTGCAGAGGCTACGGGACTGGGAGTTGGCACAGGGGGGTAAGTGAGCATGGCGATTCCGAGTAGTATATTAGTTTCCGAAATTAGTCATTAGTTTTATCGATTTTATCGATTTTTTGCAAAGTTCGAGCTACGGGACTGGTGGTCGGCACAGGGGGGTAATCGAGCATGCTGATTATGAATACAATATCAGTTTTTGGCATTACCTGTTACTTTTATCGATTTTTTTCAAAATTTGAGCTGAAGGGGTGGGAGTTGGCACAGGGGGATAAGGGGCTTGATTTCGAAAACAACACAGGGAACGGGAAATGAAGTGTAGAAGTGGGCACAGGGAAAGGTTGTACAGGGATAGGAGTGGGACTTTTATTACAGTCTTTTGACAGGGCCGAACGGAGTAGGGTAAGCAAGCTAGTATGCAATATTTGATGCATCACCTGTCGCTATGTGTAGATTGTTGCCGCTTGTTGAATAACCGGGTTTGTCTTCCATCTTTGAAAAAAATTGGAAAAGTAAGACACTCTCTACGCCCGAAGAAAAGTGTGCTTATGTTAGCCCATTACACACTCAACCATTATATTAGGTCGGCACAAAAGTTTGAAAATGAAAAGACGGACAGTTCCGTTCTTTCATTTTCAAACATTTGTAACTCTCAACGGATTTGCTTGCTCGTAATTTTAGTAGAAAGAATAAGTCTTTCGCTTTCAAATGCCGTTCTGTGTAGCTTCTGTTTCATACTGGGTGCGGAGATAAAAATGGAAAAGTAAGACCATAGAGACTTCGACCATTTTAAGTGAGGTCGCTAAAAATCTGGAACGCTGCAAAAAATCTGAAATCGTCAGCACATATGTTTTTTAGCCTACTCTTTGCAACTGTGAAGAGTTTGTGCTATTTGGACCGTTTCTGTGAGAAGTTATGATTTTTGCCACAATTGACAAAGTAATTAATTTTGGCGTTTTCCATAGTAAACTCAATATTCATAACTTCTCACAGAGACGTCTCATCCATGTATGAGCCATATGATCACATGCGTGGGAGGAGCTCAGGACGTCTAGGGGCGGAGTTTGCCATTTTACCCCATTCATTTTTTCTTTAGTTCTAGCCATGAACACAGTTCGGAAAGTGTACAGTTAAATGTGCGATGTGTCAAGTATATGCTAAAAAAGATGGGGACTTTTTCTGGATATTTTGGGACGGAAATACGATTTTTGACGAAAAGATTCGAAGATCGTTCTCGACTGCTATCAGATTTCAGCTTAACACGTTTCGGACCGCGAAATCGCGCGCGGCGAAAAAGAGTGCACTTTCAGCCGTTAGCTAACAAAGGGACCTTATTTCGTAGACTCTGTGCTACATCTGTAATCAGCATGTCAGATAAGCACCATACCCAAAGTTTTGAGTGAATTTGAAGCGTTTGAATTTTGTCGCTGGAAAAAGACTTGTGTGTTAAAAAGAAACAACATCTCAATTCCTAATAGTAAGCAGAAGTACCTATGTTGCACACGGTGCGCATCATCATTGAAGCTACGGTTTTTCTCTTTGGAATGGAAACAAAGAAATGTTGCGACGTCGCACGCGTCGTTCGCGTTGCCGCAATTTGTTGCAACTGTTGTTCGATTTGTCATCATATCTCCTAAAAAAATCGGCGGCACACCTACACATGGTCATTTGAAAAGTAGGAGCTTAGGCCTTCGATTCGACAAACTTGGATTAAAAGAAAACCTCCTGTACGCGTCAAAAAGATCCCTCAAAGCAGCGTGCTGCACCATGTGCAGCACCGGTCCGAAACGTGTTAAAACTCCACCTGTAACATCATTTGGGCGGACCTTTCATAGCCTTCTTGTTAAGCTTCCTTTGCCCTGTCGAATGATTACGCAAACCACATCAGATAGAGGAAAGATACAAAGAGACTGTGGTTACGGTAAAAACCGTAAAAATTATGAGTCACCCCAATATTAATACATTATAACTCCTTGTCCTGTAGCTCTAAGTTTTTGAAAAGCTGGTAGTATAGATAAACGTAGTCTTTTATTCCGATAATTAATAATCTATCCGTAATCAGCATGCTCGCTTACCCTCCTGTGCCAACTCTAAGCCGCTCAAAGTCTGCAAAAAATTGATCAAATCGAAGACTAAAACTCAAACGCAACAAGTGCCGTCCACTAACCCTGTTCTGTCAGACCAAGCATATGCTGTCTTATCGATAATCATGAATCCATTTAATCGCAATTCACTATTGTTGGCGGTGCAACCATATCGGATGATGCTTGTCCTTTGTTCAGTTTAGGATCGAAAAGCGTTTCGGGCTGAACAAGGAACAGGCATAACAACAGAACATCCATATGTTCTGGTGTTATGCGCAAATGTAGGGAGTTTGCGAAAAGTTTACCGCTTACAATATAGAGAAAGCTGGAACATCAAGCCAAATCAAAAATGAGCGCATCTATTCTACAGAACAGAAGAGCTAATACGTTCCATCGTTTTTGCTTTTCAAGTACTTGACACTTCGGTCTTCAATGTACTAAAGCACTATAGCCTTACTAATTGGGTGCCTGACCTCAAGCCATCGCAGAAAAGGTTTGAAGGAGCTTCAAGAGCTCTCAGCTGCAAACATCAAGGAACAAAGTTGGAATCACAGATAAAGGATGAATTATGTTCCAATTAATGATCGCCATAACGCAGCAACATATCCGAGACAAACAGCGTGTTTTCTGAGAAAAATTCACAAAGCAAATAGAAAGCCGAACGGACTCTAGTTCAGACAGCGCGAACAGCAGATCTCGCAGCATACCGTATCCCGTCTCAAAATTGATTGCCACTTTGTCCTGCGTTATACGTCCTCATACAAAGACTCAAATTACCATCTGACCCACTTAGTTCATGAAATTCTGCGGACTACAAAGTTCGCCTTCATCAACGTCGATAGTGCGCACCCACAGAATATCGTGGTTACTGAATCTGATCTCAATACAATAGTTATTGCCATATGTTCCCTTGCACTTAGCCAAATGCCCTAATTGACCATTTAAAAATACTAAATTTGGTGAGAATGACAATTTGGCTATTTAAATTTTTGACATCACTTCGCTTTACACAAATATCTCGAACTCGGATGCTTACAAACTGTTTTCGAATTACTGCGAAAAAGACAACAGCATCAATTCCTACGGGTTGCACACAGGGCCCGGCGCAGATCGTCTGAAAGCAGGTTGGACTTCGTTTTTGGAGCAAAAAGCAAAGGAGTATCGTTTTTACGAATCAAAGCCGAGCACCAAGAATAAGCGCCATTTAGTCGAACACAAGCTGTTCGGACAGGTTATCACACGACCAGGGTCAAGCGTGGGGTGCGGCACGCCACACCTGGGGGATCGTATTGAGGAGTCAAAAGGGGAGGGGGTCGTAGTTGGGTAATCTGATAATAGTAATAACATGATATTCGTATCATATCCATAATTAGCATGTCAATTAACCCCTGTAGACAAAGTGTGAGCGAATTCTGAAGATTCAAGATACTAGGCTACCTAAATGAAATGGTCAAATTCCAACATGGTTAACTTTGTTTCAAAGGTGGATTAGCTATCCGTTTTTGCACTCAAGACAAAGCACTACTCCTTCTTTTTCCACCTCAGAAATCCCGCTTCAGAAGACCTGCAGACTGTGGAATTGGAAGCCAACCAAAATCTCGTTTTTCCCAGTTTTCGCTTTTGCTTTCACCAAATATTACTTAGAGCTAAGAATACAAATCAGGCTCCAAACAGTCCTATGGAATCTACAAGGTTTAAGCTATCGATTCACATAAACATTGTCCGCTAAAAATGTTTTTTTTGATATAGTTAATGGGGTGCGGCACACCCCTTAAAAGCTGCGGCTGCCGCAGCTTTCAAGGGGGTGTGCCGCACCCCTTAACTTGTCTTCAAAATCCAGAAGGCGCTCCACTGCTGGTATGAGTATTGAGTACATAGCTTCTTCTTGCTACATTGGAAATTTGGAGCCGAACGCCCCACCCATAAGAAAATTGTAGCCCTTTCAATATGCCCATTCAGATCAAAATCAGCCGTCAAATTACGTGTGATTGTAAAGTGCAGTCACAGAAGATCGGGCGTACAGCTCTCAGAAATCTGAAAACTCTCTAGAAAAAGATGGTGTCCTCCAGAATGTCACACTTTGA